TTTTCAGTCGTTAATGAATATTGTCTTCCATGATTTCCTCTGTCGCTTTATGCTGGTATTTTTTTATGATATTTTGGTTTATAGTGCTTCCGAAGCTACCCATTTGGATCACATTCGACAGGTCTTCTCGGTGTTGCGCACCCACCGCCTCTTTGCTAACTCAAATAAATGTATCTTTGCTTTAGCCTAGCATTGAATACCTGGGTCATATTATTAGTGTGGTTGGTGTTTCTGCCGATCCTTCTAAAATCCAGGCGATGGTTGATTGGCCCCAACCATCTTCACTTAAAGCTCTTTGTGGTTTTTTGGGACTTACAGGCTAGTATCGTCGTTTTGTGTGTAACTACAGTAAAATAGCATGGCCATTGACACAGCAGCTTAAAAAGGATGCCTTCTCATGGAATGCGAAGGCTGAGAATGCCTTTCAGGAGTTGAAACAGGCTATGACGTCCGTACCTGTGTTGGCCCTTCCGGATTTTTCCCAGCCCTTCTTGATCGAGACAGATGCATCCGGTGTGGGTCTCGGTGCGGTATTAATGCAGAATAATCGACCTATAGCTTTTTACAACCACAAGCTTAGTCCGTCTACACAGTCAATCTGTTTACGAGCGTGAATTAATGGCTATTGTCTTTGCCATTAAAAAATGGTGCCTATCTTCTTGGAAGACGCTTTATTGTTCGTGCCGACCAGCATAGTCTAAAGTATCTATTGGAGCAACGGGTTGTCGAAGGTGAGCATCATAAGTGGCTCCTTAAGCTTATGAATTATGATTTTGAGATTCAGTACAAACCAAGTACCGAAAATGCCGTGGCTGACGCTCTCTCTAGAGTTCCTGCTGAAATGCACTTAAATTCTCTTACAGTCCCTATTTTTCTTGATTTTGATGACCTTAAGGAGCAAGTTAATGTTGATCCTTTTCTGGCCAACATTAAGAATGTCTTACAGCATGACCCGGCTGCTTATCCTGCCTACTCTTTAGTTGGAGATCACCTTCGTTATCATGGTAAATTGGTTTTGTCGGCTTCTTTCCCATTTATTCCCCTCTTACTTAAAGAGTTTTATTCTGGTGTTGTGGGAGGACACTGGAATCCGCCAGACATATCGGCGAATAGCAGCTGAATTTTACTAACGAGGAATAAAGCGTTCTATCCAAGAGTTTGTGCAGACCCGTTATGTGTGTCAACGCAGTAAATATGAAGCCATGTCCCCTACTGGCCTTTTGCAACCTTTACCCATTCCTGAACATATCTGGGAGGATATTGCTATGGACTTTATTGAGGCTCTTCCTAAGTCTAAGGGATTTGATACAATTATGGTGGTGGTCGATCGTCTCTCCAAGTATGCCCATTTCATCCCTCTCAGTCACCCTTTCTCGGCTCTCACGGTTGCTCAGGCTTTCCTACACAACATAGTTCGTTTACATGGCATCCCCTAATCAATTGTGTCTGATCGTGATAAAGTCTTTTTGAGTTTCTTTTGGCACAAACATTTCACCTTGCAAGGTTCAGAATTGCGTCGTAGTTCAGCTTACCATCCTCAGACGGATGGTCAGTCGGAGGTGGTTAATCGCTGTTTAGAGACTTATTTGCGATGCTTTGCGGCTGATTCCCCCTCCCGCTGGTCTTCTTGGTTATCTTGGGCAGAATACAGCTATAATACTTCTTTTCACACTACTGTTGGCATGGCACCTTTCAAGGTGGTTTATGGGCGCGATCTTCCTCCATTAATCTGCTATGAGCTTGGCTCTACGGCTAATGCTGATGTTGAAGTTGTTCTCCTTCAGCGTGATGCTATACTTGGGGAGTTGCGTGCTCATCTACATCGTGCACAACAAAAGATGAAAGACTCGACTGATGCGAACCGACGTGATGTGAATTTTGATGTCAGGAATTTGGTGTATGTGAGAGTGCGACCTTATCGCCAACAGTCTCTTGCTCGCTGAGTCAATGAAAAGCTTGCCCCTCGTTTTTATGGACCATTTGCTATCGTGGAAAGAATTGGCGTTGTCGCTTATAAACTCCAACTTCCTCCAGATGCATGGATTCACCCAGTTTTTCATGTCTCGCAACTCAAGAAAGCGATTGGCAATCATATCTCTTCTCCAGTGATTCCTTCCACTCTGTCGGCTGATATGGAAATGCTTGTGGAACCTGCAGCCGTTCGAGGGGTGCGTCCATCCACTATGCCTGGAGTCACTGGTTCGGAAGTGCTTATTCATTGGCAGGACCTACCAGATTTTGAAGATTCTTGGGAGCCTTTTGACTTACTTCGAGACCAATTTCCTCATTTTAACCTTGAGGACAAGGTTAGACTTTGGGCGGTGGGTAATGATAGGCCCCCAATTAACCTTACGGAAGTGCTATGTCAGTTAGGAATAAGAAGAGTGTTGGGCATTTATAACTTGACCAACTGGGCATTTATAAAGGGAGTCAGTTATGCTATCAGTAGAGTATAAGAAGGGGCTTTGGGGGATGGTGGGAGGTGTTTTTTTTTCTTGAGTGAAGAATACTGTGAGTAATTGGGAGAGCCGGCGGTCTCTCGAAGAACCGACCAATTGTTAATGTTTCCTTCTGAATGAATACCAGTTTCTTTTGTTGATGTTCGAGTTGTGAGAATTCTGTTGCGAGTCTGAGAACTGTGTGAAGTTTCTGGGACATAACACCCTACCACAACCAGCCAACACAATACCAGAAGGGAAAGCAACCACAAGGAAGTCGCAGCTCCTACAACAACAAATACCAAGGAAGACCAGCCCATCTGCCTACATGCTACATTTGTGGGGAGGAACACCTGACAAGACATTGCCCAAAGCGGGAGAAGCTAAATGCCCTCATTGCCAAGTTGAGTGATGATGAGCACAGTGATGGGGAGCGGAGTACACAGGCGCCAAGAGTGGGCTCCCTAGAACTTTTCAATGCCATGATGAAGAAAGAGGCTACCTCCAAACAGCCCGCCTCAATTAAAGGAGGACTGATGTACGTTGATATAAGCCTTGGCGGGAGGCCAACTACGGTCGTAGTTGACACGGGGGCCACTCACAACTTCATATCCATTGCAGAGACCAAGAGACTTAATTTGGCCATTTCCAAAGAGCCAGGATGGCTCAAAGCAGTTAACATAGGTGCCAAACCTACTGAAGGCATGGCTCGCCAAGTCAGACTACAACTCGGCACTTGGGATGGGGAGATTGACCTCTCCGTTGTTCACATGGATGACTTTGATGTTGTCCTCGGAATGAACTTCATGATACAGGCAAAAGCGGCATCGACACCTCACCTTGACACTCTGATCATCTTGGACGAGCAGTCACCTTGCATGGTCAACATGATCGCCAATACCAAGAAGAAGCAAGTCTCAGCCTTGCAACTCCGGCACCAACCTCAACATCAAGGGATGGCAAAGAGATCTACAACAGCCACCACTACTGCAACTAGAAATGATCGCAGCGACTCCAAGAAGAAGTCAACACCAACGCCAACACCGCCACAGCACCAGCAACAGTAACAGAAGCCACCTTCGCAGCAGAAGCTGCATACGCCCGTAACTGATGGGCCCAAGAGAAGACCCAAGGCCAACTTCAACTGTAGCCGTACCCACTACCTCAATCATCAGGGAGAGCGAGTGCCACCCAAACCATATAGGAAGCACATTCTCACCCCTCCTCAAGCTGAACCACGTAGTAGCACGGTTAGAAACCATCCTTGGGCAAAAATGCATGGGAACCAATACCCGAAAAATCCAAACCATCATTTTGACCTAGCCTTGGCCACAAATTTTCCTACCACCACCGGGGGACATCCAAAATCCTACCTTGAAGTAGTCAGGCAGGGACTTAACTTAAGGACTAGCCATAGGTTTTCCCACCATCAAGAACATCCAAAAACCTTCCACCCAACCTCCTATCCGAGCCTTGGAAGAAACCCTGTTCATGGAGCAGTTGAAGAACCTTCCTTCACCACCAATAAGTTCAAGCCACAAGCCAAAGCTGGTCATCGAGGACGAAGACAAAATTGTGGGGGAGAATGTCACGAGTGACCATTTTCCCGTGCCTTCAAGTGCCATCACCACGCTCACAGCATGCCATCCGAGTGCCCAAGTGTGTGTCATGGGTGAAACATTGCATGTATTTTGTATGGGGGGATTGCCAATGGCATTATTGTAATTCCGTAGTATGATTTTTCACCTTTTTGATGTTTCATTATGTCACTCCCCCAAAAGCTTAACGTACTCTTTGAGGGGAGGTAGGTAGTTGAGTGAATCAGTAGCGTGTAAAGGTTAAGCACGAGATCCCCTCAACATTGAACTGTGTGTTTGTGCTTACCATCAATTAATGCAATACAATAGCCTTTTTACTAATTCATGTACATTCTTGTTGTCTTTTGTGTGTTATTGCTTGCATTCGTAGGCTTACTCGACCACATCGAGTGTCGCACAGGGCCTCGCCGAATAGCCTCGTGACAAGTGGGAGCAACCAAAATTTCTGCCTTTGTAAAGTTGGCAATGGCAATTGATCAACTAAAAATCCAGCAGATTTTCCACCGCCCCTCACCCTACTATTTTCTCCTCCAATTCCAGCAACACCCGCATTACCAAAAGCACTTCCATCAAAAGTTAAGAGTCATCACCCCTTCTTCCCTGTTGATTCCAATAACCCATGTTTCACAACATAAGTTGAATTACACTTTGGTGGTTTGGCCCAAAATTGTTGTGTGTGAACCCCCTGTTTAGCTAATGAATCCACCATCCCATTTGCCAATTGATTTAAGTCTTAAAGTTATCTCCTCAAGAGCTCCTTGAATTAAAACAGGAAATGCTTCAATTTCCTAGGACACAATTCCTAGACATGTTTTCTGTTCTATAAATGATTGATGAACCTGAGAGCATAACCTATTCTTGAAATCATGGCTCAAGATGAGAAGGCATTCAAGTAGAACAGCAAAATTTTTTGAACAATATAGGTATAGAAGGAAAAGAATGAGCAAGGGAAAGGAGAGAATACCATTTCCACTCACTGAGTGAGATTGGTCACCAGAACTGGAAATAAATATACCCTACAAAGAGGAAAGAAAGGACAAGACAAAATAAACCCCCATGTCAAATCAACCTTCCCATGGTAGTACTTGTGAAACATAGAATTAGAAAACCAATAATTAAAAAAATCAAACCTGTTGGCGAGCTCGCTGGAGCTCCTGCTCAAGTTGGGTTAGCTTAAGTCGGCTACTTTCCAGCTGTTGGACATATGCCTTCACAAGAGAAGAATCATGCAAAGAAGTGTCAAATTAATAAATAAGAATGTCATGTGCCAAAAAAATGCAAGCCTTCAGAAGAAACAGAATACACAAAAATTTTAGTCTGCAAGTTGAACATGAAGGGCATACAACATATAGACAAGTTTAACAAGAAGAAAAGAAATACGCATATCACTTTTGCAGTAATAACATCCCAAATTAGTCACTACAAATTTGCACAACAATGAAGATGATACAAGTGTTCACTTCTGGCTCTTTCGTTCACATCTAAAAGGGAGAGTATAACAAAGCTTTCAGGAAGTAAACATATGTATAATCAATCCCCTTATGACCTAAAATTGAGATGATTCATCAAGAAAAAGGATTCATCAATCTATTTTCTTTATCTTTTTTTTTATTAATAACTGCAAGAATCTATAAATATAGGAATAATGTAAAAGGTGTACACTGAAAAACAAAGAAAAAAGATTACAACCATATCAATACCCTGACCCTCAATGGACCCAAATCACAACCCTCACTTTTTACATTTCATTTTCCAGGTGTAATGCCCTTGTCCTTGATTTATGAGTCTCCAACACAGTTTATTTCTGTACACTCCTTAACTTGCTATTGCATCCGCTACATAATTTGCTGACCTCCGTAGACATTTAGCTGATGCTCTTAGCTCCCTCATCAGGATTCTTACTCCTTTCAGTATATCTGTAGTGCCATGTACCCAGTCTAGTATCATTTAGCCATTTTGTGCTTGAATCCCCCTTCAACTACTATACCTTTAAGTTTTCTGCTTTCCCCAATCTCAAGCCCTGAAGTACTGCTAACAATTCTGCCCTGATTGAGTCTCCACACACTGTAGAACCGGAATGTCATGCCAAAATATGCCCCAAACAGTTCCTATAGACACCTCCAACCTCGATTCTCCTGGATTGTCTCTGCTGCACCCAAGTTTGATTTTATTTGATTCTCTCCTGGCGATGACCAGTCTATCACCCTTCAATTCTGGATGTAGACGATGCCACCACTTCCATCCCCTGTAATGCCATCTGTTCAAAAAGGCCTTAACAAACCCAAAGTTTTCATCCAGTATACTATTATAATCTTGATAAGCTCAACTAAGGCCTGGCTCCTTTGTATGCATTTCTTCCATGAAAATCCCATCCTTTCTTTCTTCCCACACTGCCCACAAAACTGCTACTCTCATACATCTTCATAATACCTTCTCTCTTCTCTTAGGAGGAGAGAAGAAAGCCCCCAAAAACAGATCCTTCCTCATTTGGTGTATCCCACCTGCAACCAAATACTAGCAACAATTTGGCAGGATATTAGTAAATGATAAGTAGTCTCACTTGTAGCATTATACAGAGGGCGCATATGAGGGGAAAGGCACCAGTTAGGTCCTTTCTCTTGGATTACCTCACAAGTATTGATCTTCGAGTGTGTCCGTGGGTGATAGGAGGTGACTTCAATGCTACCCCATCTTCAGATGAAAGAAATTCAGGAAATAGAAGATCAAGGGAGATGAGCCTGTTTTCTGAATTTATTAATAATTTTGAGCTGCTGGATCTTCCTTTAGAAGGAGCTCAGTTTACCTGGACAGATAATCAGGAAATTCCTATACTGGTAAGGCTGGACAGCTTTCTTGTTTCCTCAAATTGGGAGGAGACCTGTCCAGATTTTAAACAGCTGGCCCTCCCTAGGCCTGTTTCAGATCACACTCCAATTCAGCTAATTTGTGGGAATAGGGAAAAGGTAAAGACTCCTTTCAAATTTGAGAACTCTTGGTTTGAAGAAGGTGGTTTTTTATCTCTGCTGAAATAAATGTGGAGTGAATTCCGGGTGGAGGGTACTAGTTCTTTTATCCTCGCAAAGAAGTTGGGAGCAGTTAAAGAAAAGGTCAAGAAATGGAGGGCAGAGAAAGGCTCTGATTTTGAAGCGGAGAAAAGTAATTATTTGAAAACAATTTCATACATTGATAAGGAAGAAGAGGGAGGTCCAATATCGGAAGAGTTGAGAAGGAGAATTCAGGCCAAAACTAAATTTGACAAGGTGACTGTGAAAGAAGAAATTAAATGGAGACAAAGAGCCAAGGTAACCTGGTTAAGGCTAGGTGATAGAAACTCTCATTTCTTTCACAAAATGGCAAATTCCCGTGTGAGAGTTTCTTCAATCAGTAAACTGGAATGGGAGGATAAAGCAGGGGAATCAGTTGCTAAAATCACATCAGTAGCTACCTCTTTCTATAAAAATCTCTATAAAGAAAGTTGGGGCAAGAGACCTTTTCCTTCAGAGTTAGCCTTCAAGCAATCTGGAGTTTAGATGGGGACAAATCTCCCGGGCTGGATGGTTTGCCTAACTTGTTTTATATTAAATGTTGAGATTTCATTAAGGCTGACCTGTTAAAGGTGTTCCAGGACTTCCACAGAAATGCATCTTTACACAGAAGTCTTAACACTACCTTTATCTCCTTGATCCCTAAAGTAGAAGGGGCTACAAATATTAGGGATTTTAGGCCCATCAACCTTTCTAAAAATCAGTTTGCCTTTGTTCCGGGGAAACAAATGCTTGAATCTGTCTTGATTGCAAATGAGCTTTATAGACTCAAGATTAAGGGAGGGTTCTCCAGGCCTGGTTGTAAAGCTGGATATAGAAAAAGCATATGACCATGTAAACTAGAGGTGTCTAGATCGGGTGCTTGAGAAAATGAACTTTGGACAGAAATGGAGAAATTGGATAAAAGTATGTATTTCTTCTCCCAAATTCTGTGTTGATCAATGACCAGTCTGTGGGGTTTTTTGATAGTTTGAGGGGTCTTCGACAGGGGGACCCACTCTCTCCGTTGCTCTTTATTTGTATATCAAAGCTCCTGACCCGATTCTCCCTTAAGGCAGCAACCAATGGTTTGTGGGATGGTTTTGCAATTGCACTGGAAGCGGAAAAAGTCAATCTATTGCAGTTTGCTGATGATACTCTCTGTTTTCTTGATGCCTCTTCTGATCAGGTGGATTTATTACTTGGTATACTTTGCTGGTTCGAAGTAGTCTCAGGCCTTAAAGTTAATTTCCATAAAAGTAAGATAATCCCAGTGGGCCCCGTTCCTAACCTGGATTCTTTTGCTAGATTGATGGCTTGCCAGGTGGACTATCTCCGGGTAAGTACCTTGGCCTCCCACTAGGTGCCAAATGTTATTCTTCTACTTTATGGGATCTTGGGAAAAAATTGGCCTCCTGGAAGGCAAAATATCTGTCTATAGGAGGGAGAGAGACCCTTATCAAGAGTACCCTTGCCAACCTCCCTACCTACTTCAGGTCCATGTTTCCTATGCCATCTAAAATTGCTAAGAAACTTGAGAAGATGCAGAGAGATTTTCTCTGGAGAGGGTGGGAAGAAGAGAAGAAGATGCACCTTGCAAATTGGGACCAAGTTTGTCTTCCTAAGGCAGAGGGTGGTTTAGGCCTTAGAAGATTAAAGGTGGTAAATTCGGCTTTATTGAGTAAATGGTGTTGGAGGTTTGCTGCAGAAAGATCTTCTTGGTGGAGGTCCCTAATTGCCACAAAATTTGTTGTGGGTTGGGGAAATTATAAGTCTCAGGACCCATACCCAACATGGGGTTGTTCGGTTTGGAAAGGGATTCTTAAATCTTTTCCTGTGATGTATGAGGGTGTGAGGTTTAAGGTGGGAAATGGGAACAGGCTGAAATTTTGGAAAGATCACTGGTGTTGGGACAGACCTTTAGCTGAGGCGTTTCCTCTTCTGTTCCAATGTGCAGTTAACCAAGAAATATCAGTGGCGGAGTCTTATGTGATTTCTAACAACACAGTGACCTGGAATCCTCAGTTCAGAAGAGAGTTATTTGATTGGGAAATAGGAGTTATGCATCTACTACAGATTTTACAGGAGCAGACGATAGACATTGCTGGTGATGATGAATGGAGCTGGTCCTGGAGTAAGGATGGCTGTTTCTCAGTCAAATCCCTTACTTTGAAGCTTAGTAGTATGGGGGTTACTGAGTTCCCTTACCAGCAAATATGGAAGTCTTGTGCTCCCCCAAAGTCTATCTTCCTTGTATGGACTATGGTGCTGAACAAATGTCTCTCAAGACTCAACCTGGATAGAAGAGGTATTCAGCTCCCTTCTCTGATGTGTGGTTTGTGTGGCCTATTGCCTGAGTCCACAGACCATCTGTGTTTACATTGTCCTATCTCTTCAAGAGTCCGGTACCACTTTATAGGTGCGGCTGGTCTTGATTGGGTCATGCCAAGTTCAGTTAAAAACCTGCTGCTTTTCTGGAATCCTGAAGGTTTGAAGAAAAAAGGATGTTTAATTTGGAGAACTATTCCTGCGGCAGTGATATGGGTAATTTGCTCAAAGAGGAACAGAAGAGTCTTCAGCAACAAAGCTAAGAGCACTGAGGAGATTGTGCAGCAGGCGGTCAGCAAGCTGATTTCTTGGGTGTCTGTTACCCCTGATTTTAAAGAGTTGAATGTTCCTGAATTATTTAGGTCTTTATCCATTTGGGATCTGTAACATGTCCTGTAATCTGAGCGGCCGCATGTGGCTTGCTCTTCTATTGTAATGAGTTCTTTCTGAATCAATAAATTTATTACTTTACCTTTAAAAAAAAAAGTATTGATCTTCAAGTGAAAAACCACCCAGCAGCAGGCCGTAATTTTAGAAGAACTGGACCTTTCCACACTTCCTTCACAGGAAAGGCCAGGGAAGACCAGGATAAATCAGAAAATCTATGGAAGAAGGAAGAGCTAGAAAACCATTACGATTCAAGGTCTAAATCCCTTTATCCTCTTCATCTGGATCTAAGAAAACATTTTCAAAACACACAGGGAGTTCAGAGACAATAGATAGTTCAATGTCCCTACCCCTCTTCTGAATCCAAGATTCCAAATGACCACATGGCTGGTTACAGAGATACAGTGACTAATGGTTTTGTGTTTGTGAAGTGAAAGACAGTAAAGATTGCGAAATCAGCCAAAGACATC